AAACTATCGTGATATGCAGCACTTGTAAACAAAATGTCTGGCCAATTTTCTAAAATTAAAAGCTTTATTCCATATGCCAATTGAAAGTCTTGTTCTATTTGCTATATCAATTTAGATATTTTCTTTAAATACTTTCCAAATTTTATATGTAAGTTTCTTCATAATAATAAGACTAGTGTCTTTGAAAATATCAACATTAGAACAATATCATGTCAAAAAACAATTTGCCATATGTCATGGGGACGTGCCAATGTCGGAATGTTTTACAAAGTTTAATGTACAACCAAGATTTATGAATGTATTCCCTTCACTGGCTCCCCTCCCAATGATAGGTAAACAAGTTAAAGTGGTTTCTTACACAAAGAAGCAAGCAGGCAAGCCTCCTTCCTCCACAGATGTGCACCTGCTCCTGTCCATGATGCAGCCACCCCCGGAGGAAGCCTCGTCTGTGCTTCGGTCTATCTGTCCACGCTCCCGCCCTTGTTTCAGCCCACTCAGCCTCACTTCACCTGCCTCATGCCACCCAACGTGTTCGAGCCAAGGTCAGCAATGTCTTAAGACCCCATGAACGTGAGAGCTGGAGCTGGGTTTGCAGATCTGCACATCGTGTTGCAGCTGGCTCCCCAACAGGCTGGGCGGCTGTGGGGGAGCTGCTCTCCGAGCCTTGGCTTCCCACTGCCGCTGTTCCCTAATGGACACCACTCGAGCACTCTGAGCGGAGTCACTGCAGCAGAGGGGATGGCACAAATTAGCAAAATTGAACTCAAATACGGCTTCACGCCCCACCAGCTCTTCACCATCATGTCTTCCTTCTAGGTCTCTAAATTGAAGTACTCTGAGGACACACCCAGCATAAGGCTGCAGGTTCTTTGCCTCCGGAGGCTTCCAAACACATCTCCTGACTCAAAGCAAAGGCCGGCTTCTAACAAAGCAGCACACAGTGCAGTGACCAGGTGAAAGACCTTTTGCATGGAGAAGCAAGTGAGCACAACGATACCCATGAGGCTGCTGGACCAGTGCAGCCCCACTGCCCGAGCTCACACGCTGGCGCCATCAGATGCCTGACTCAGGCGCCCAGGCCCTCAGGCTTCACATCTCTCGACCTCTATGGTGACACTAACATGAAGAACTACACTAAGGCATCGCCAGGCACTTGGAACTGCATGGTACATGGCAGGTACCACACAACACAGGATTTTAAATGTCACTCAGTGGCATGTGAGAAACTTACATGTTTCCTGTTCTTGGACTTCCTTGAAAATGACAGCTAGCAATGAAAGTATATTTACGACTTTGTGCATATTATTAAGATGTCACATCTCACACATACATGAAAAGACAAATTTCTGCATATTCAATTTAAAAGCATTTAGATTATCTTGTCAAGTCTCCACGCCAAAGTATAATTTAAAGCTATATTATAGTTTGAGGAGATGGGTCTTCAAACAATTACAAAAGGCAGATTTTGGTGCCGGTGTCATGGCATTACCAGCTGAGCTGCCACCTGCAATACCAGAATCCTAAATTGGTGATGGCTTGAGTTGCGGCAGCTCTGCTTTAATCAAGCTCCCTGCTGATTCGTCTGGGAAAGTCCACAGGCCCCTGCACAGGGTGAAGCGCCTGGGGAATGAACCAGCAGATGGAAGGTCTCTCCCTTTGTATCTCCCTCTCTCAATAACTTTGCTTTCAAATAAATAAACCTTTAAAAAGGAGAAGGGTTAAGAATGTAATCACAGGGCTAAGCAGGAAGGTATAGTCACTAAAAGTTCTCCTTGCATGCTCCAGGATCCCATATGGGTGTTGGTTTGTGACCCAGCTGCTCCACCTCCCATCCAGCTCCCTGCTTGTGGTCTGGGAAAGCAGTTGAGGACAGCCCAATGCCTTGGGACCCTGCACCCACGTGGGAGACTCAGAAGCTCCTGGCTTCGGACCAGCTCGGCTCCAGGTGCTGCAGCCACTTGGGGAGTGAATAAATGAATGGAAGATCTTTCTCTTTGTGTCTCCTTCTCTCTGTAAATCTGACTTTCCAATAAAAAGAAAAGAGAGAGAGAATGTAAACATAGTCCCCTACAGTGGACTGAAGGATTGAAAATGATTAATAGTATAGCTTCATTAACAAGTTAAAGAGCAGTGCTGTTCTTGGAGCAACAAACACTCTCATGGGCACTGTCCACAGGAGGGTAGAATGACACCATCCTGTGGTTGCGCGATCCTTACCTACACTTGACATCACCCCAAACTGCTCCATTCTGATCATCACTGCTTTACAGGAGACAGCCTCTGTCTTCACCTAGTCAAGTTCACACTCTAATAAAGTCTTTCAGTTACGTAGTTATAGTCGTATTTATTGCTTCTACAAACCAAACACAACAATGTCATTCCAGAAAGATAAAAAATATCAAATCAGAGCATTTGGTTGCTACAGAGTAAAAAAAAAAAATGTATCTATACCTATATATCTATATCTATTCAGCTGTTTACTGAGCACCTGCCATGTGCTGAGTTCTTGGAAATGTCGACTACATCTTTATAATAACCTGATGAGGAACATGTAAGATTGAGTAACTATCCAGGGTCACAAAGATAGCAAGAGGGAGACGGAGGACTTGGACACTGGAAGGCTTAAGTACCAGAGGTCACATTCCTATCTTCTGAGAGCCAGGAGCATCCAGCACAGCCTGGCAGCCCTGGTCCACTCCCTAGCCTGCTGCAACCAGCAGAATCCTATCACGGAGACTGCTCCTTCTAAGAGTGCTCCAGCAGACAAGCATGGCAACTCTGAGCAGTCATTTATGGCTTCTTTTATCAGAATGAATGGTAACCCACGCTGAGCAATCTCTAAGATACCTTTGCAACACACTGCAACACTTCACCTATACTGATTCCTTAAAATTCTCTTCTTCAACTGGATTCCTGGACATAACCTGGCCCTGGAAATAACAAAATATCAACAGGTACTTAACTGTTTCCTTGGTGCGCAAGAAAAGCCATCATCTCTGTTAAACAGCGACAACATCCAATGACTTTCTTAATGACGACAGCCACTTGGACAGGGTCCCTTGTGGCATTCCCTGTTACACCACTGGAATGGTGAGTCATAACGTTGAGAAGGGGGCAGGCACCTCCCGAACGAGCCATATAGCCTGTTGTCAAGTTACTTCCTATATGGGCCATTTCTTTAAACACTTAAAACGTGAATCCCACAGTGCGTTAGACAATCTTAACTACACAAAGAGATGACGCAGAAATTTAATCTAATAAGCTCTTGATCTTACGGCGCCTCACAACCGCCACGCCAATTTTCTAAGAGGGTTCTAACAATACCAAGATACTTCATAGTGGTCACAGAAAATGGAATTGAGCTTATTTCGTTAAAATTTTTTTTTTTCAAAGTCATGCATAATAGGTATTACCCAATAATTATTTGAAGAATACTCATACAATCTGGTGAAATATGTTCTGTGCAGAAGATTCCTGAAGGGCAAACAACTACTCGAAAGCTCCCACAACAGGCCTCGAGGCGATGCCGAGCGCACAGAATCCAGGCAGATTTGAGCGTGGAGTTACAAACGGCAGACTTTGGCCTCACCACAACAAACTGCTTTGCCGTGAAAACAACACTCCACAGTCGGCCTCAGTTCTCTGCCTAGAGAAGCTTTAAAAATCTAAATCGCAGGAAAATCCTTCCACTAATCCTGAATCTCACCGAACTAGCACTTTCTGGATTATCTAGGCAACAACCACGTTCCTATCGAGTTCTTGACCCTCCACGGAGCCTCCGGCCCTTTGACCGACGTGATGACAGCCAGTGCGAAGGGCACAGGCGGATTCCTGGATCCCGACACAGCGGAACCTTGCACCAAACCGAGCCTCCCACTCCCTTGGCCCTTTCCCCAAGACCAAACCCAAAGCCCTGGGGTGGGATGAACTTAGAGACAGCTTTGGTCTGACACACTGATCCTCTTCGCCCAGAAACTTCGCACACTGGATACCTCCTCCCTCCTTGGGGAGGAATTCTTTCCGGAGCACCCTAACTACAGCAGTGGGTCCTTATTGCCTCTCCATCAGCCCCTGCCCCTCCAGCTCTCACCGTGGGGTTTGTCAGTGCTCACAAACGCCTCACCTCATTGCTTACTGACCTATTCTGTCTCTTCTACTAAGAGTTTACACTCGACAGGGGCTAGGACCTCGTCTGTCTGATTTGTGCCTGAGACGCGGTGGCCGTTTGACAAATATTTGTTGAATGATTAAAACGGAAAGATTGGACACTGCTGTTGGCATTAACTACCAAGCTTGTAACGAACGATAAGCTAGACTCCTCTTCCTCTTTCTGAAATCCGCGGGCCCAGGCAACCAGCAAATATGCACTGAGCGCCTTACTATGTGCCAGGCACTGCTGCAGTCACAAGGGATACGGATAAGAGTGGACGCCTCTTTCTGCTCCACAGACCCCCACATTTTAGTGGACAACCCAGAATATGTCTCGCCCACCCCAAAGCATTACCATGCTTGGGACATAAGGCTCACCCTCGCAGGGAACAGCTATGGGAACACTCCCCCACCCCCATCCCCACCCCCACGAAAAGAACATTGTCCAGTCAGACACCCCCAAAGCGAGCCTCAGCGGTTTCCCTACACCAGGTTAGCAGCTCTTTCCACCTGCTCTGCTCACCTGGGGAAAACCCAACCAGCCAGAGCCCAGGTAATGTGGACACTCGGGACTAGGACCATGGAGGGCTTGGAGGTAGGTGAGGGGAGGAACCAGGAAACGGGCAGGCAGTCGTGGCAAGGGCCTTCAGCAGGGAAGCCAAACAGGCTCGGCTGTCACCAACTTGCCAGGTGACCTTGGGCCAGTCTGGAGCAGCCCGACATCATTCCCCTGGGGGGATAATCCCCAGTAGGCCGGAAAGGTGGGATTCGGGGTCAGGGGGAGCGGAGGCCGGGAGGCCGGGGAGGGTAACGGCCGGCGTAGGGAGGCCGGCGCGGGGCGGCTCACCCACCGAGCGCCACCTGGCAGGCCCTGCGCAGCTGCGAGTGCTGGGGCCGCTTCACCTCCTTGTCGGCTAGGATCTTCTCCAGAGCCCGGGACACGAACATGCTCTTGGTCTGGCTCTCCTGCATGGCCCCGGCCCAGCGGGGGCTGGCAGCCCCGCGGGCGCGCGACACGAGCGAGTGGACGGGCGAGCGAGGCTAGGGTCCCCGCGTCCCGGCCGGCACCGGCCGAGTCCGTGCGCGCCGCCCCGTCAGGAAGCGACGCCGCGGCTCCACGGCGCCGCCATGTTGGAGCGCGTCACGTGACCACGTGACTGGCAGGGCCGCTACGGCCGCCGCACGTCCGTGGACCCCGTGACCTCCCCGGGGGGCGGGGCCAGGTGGACGCGAGGGGTGGGGCGAGGGTGGAGGTGACAGCTGAAGAGGTGAGGGAGAGAGACAGGCTAGGAGGAAACAGACTGAGCATAGAGGTGATGGGGTGAGAGGTGAGGAGCAGGGGATTGGGAAAAAGAAGTAGTGGGAGTAGGCTAGCAAGAGCAGGAGGGAACGGAGAGATCAGATCGAAGGGGAGATTGGGAGGGAATGACAGATGCGAGGAAGAAGGGGGTGTGGGTAAAATGAGGAAGCAAGGGGCTTCAACGAGGAGCTTCCGGCCGTGTTGTAGCTCAGTGGCTAAGCTGGTGCTGGGGCACCCACACCCCGCGTTCGGGTGCCTGGGGTCGTGTCCTGACTCCCCTTTCTGATCCAGCCAGTCTAATGCAGTTGGGAGGTGCTTGGAGTTCCTGCCGCCCATGTGGGAGAGCCGGGTTGAGTTTCTGCCTCCAGGCTTTGGCTTGCCTCAGCCTAGGCTGCTGTGGGCAAGATCTCTGTGTGTCTTTGCTTTTCAAATAAATATTTCTCTCTTCTTTTTTTTAAGTATTTATTTTTATTGGAAAGTCAGATATACAGAGAGGAAGATCTTCTGTCTGCTGATTCACTCCCTAAATAGCCACAATGGCTGGAGCTGAACCAATCCGAAGCCAAGAGCCCAGAGCTTCTTCCGGGCCTCCCACGCAGGTGCAGGGTCCCAAGGCTTTGGGCCATCCTCAACTGCTTTCCAGGCCACAAGCAGGGAGCCAGATGGGAAGTGGGTCCTCCGGGATTAGAACCAGCACCTGTATGGGATTCCAGAGCATGCAAGGCGAGGACGTTAGCCACGAGGCTACTGCACCAGGCCTTTTCTCTTCTTTTTAAGAGTAGATGGGGTATAGAATAATGTGGGGGTTGGGTCATCAAGATGAGAACAAAAGAGCTAGGGATAAGGAGAGGGGAGAGGAAGGGGGAAGAGGGGAGCTAAGAAGGAGAGCAAGAAGATGGGGTAGAAAGAGGGAGGAAGGAAGGACTGAGGAACAATGGTGTGGGGGGCGGGTGTGTGACGGGGGTGGGGCAGTTGAAGAAGAGGGGGAGGAAGTGGGAGCTGGAGAGAGCAGAGGCCAAAGGTTGCTGAGAGAGAGGAGGGGGCAGCTCATCCAGGACACTTCCCACCCACAGCACTCCCGTCCACACAGCCCCGGCGCGCGGCAGTGAAGCTGGTGCTGGCCGCCCTGTGGAGTGCCGTTGCAGTGTGCTGTGTTGCCTGCCAGGGAACTCACCTCCCTCTGGAGCTTACCCACTCTGCTTGGCCACAGAGCAGGGAGCAAGACAAGCGGACTTCAGGGCCACTGGGCAGGCGAGAAAGGGAGATGACCAGAGTTGCCCAGCCTGCACTGAGTGTGAGAGAACGGGCACTCCGGCCCCAAGACAGTTTGCATTCCATCCCCACATCAAAAGATGACATTGCAGACTAATAAGTTTCCACCCGCAGCACTCACATCCTATGTGGGAGCCAATTTGTGACTGGCTGGGAAAGCAAGGGAGAACAGCCCACCTCCTTGGGCCCTTGCATCCATGTGGGAGACGCAGAAGAATCCCCTGGCTTCAGGTTGGCTCAGCTCTGGCTGTCACAGTTGGGGAGTGAACTAGCGGGTGAAGGATTCCTCTCTCTGTCCTCTCTGTAAATGTGCCTTTTGAAAAAAGCTAAATAAATCTTTAAGAGAAAGAGAAAAGGTATGACAAAAAAAAAAAGACTGCAGGAGGATTTTTACCTCGCACAGGTTTCCTTTCGGGAGAGCGCATGGAGCCTTCCTGCTTACAGAAGACTGTGCAGCACCTGCTGAGGTGCCAAGCGCTCCTGGCTTCCACTTCTCAGTTCCAGGCCACCTGCAGGGGAGGCCCTCACCTGCCCTCCTGATCTGTCCCACCCCCCCACCAGTTGCTGCCACGTCATCCCAGTTACTCTCTCCTCTCGCTCTTCCTTCTTAAAGATTATTTATTTATTTGTTTGAAAAGCAGAGTTACAGAGAGAGGACACTACAGAAAAAGGGTATCTTCTACCTGCTGGCTCATTTCCCCAATGGCTACAATAGCCAGGGCTGGGCAGGGCTGAAACCAAGAGCCCGGAACTCCTTCCGGGCCTCCTATGTGAGTGGCAGAGCCATCTTCTGCTGCTTTCCCCAGGCACGTTAGCAGACGACTAACTGATCGGAAGCGGAGCAGCCAGAACACAAACCAGTGTCCACATGGGTGGTGGCTTAAGATGCCACAATGCCTTCCCCTCTAATTTATTTCTTAATTGTACCCAGCTTAATTTGAAATGGTTGTGATTACTTATCTGTGCATTAGTTACCCGTTGCTACAAAACAAATGACTCAGTGGTCAGCGGTTAATTTATTAGAGACAGAGAGCGAGTCCAAGCTGTCATCTGCTGGTTCACTCACCAAATGCCTGCACAGCTGAGGCTGAGCTGGGCCCAAGTCCAGATTCAGAAACCCAATCCCAGTCTCCCAAGTCAGACACAGGAACCCAACTGTTTGAGGCCTCTCACGTGCATCAGGAGGAAGCTGGAGTCGGGAGCCGGCCGTCGATCTCGGTTCCTCTGATGTGGGGTGTGGCTGTGTTAACTGCTAGGTGAAGTGTCCATCTCAGCATGGGGTGGCCTACAAATACATCTTTATTATCTCCCAGATTCTGGCTCAGGAGCTGTCATGAGCTCTCAGCCAAGCAGTGGAGATCTCCCACGCAGGTGCAGCCTCCCAAGGCTTTGGGCCGTCCTGTACTGCTTTCCCAGGCCGCAAGCAGAGAACTGCGTGGGAAGTGGAGCAGCCAGGACATGAATCGGCACCTGTATAGGCTGGGCCTGAGAGAGCATCTTTAGGGAGCAGGTGTAGTTTGGGGTTCACGAGCCCAGCTGATCAAAGACACTGGTGACTGAAGACTGTGGTAGACACAGGTGCTGGCTCTGGGTTCTTAGTAAGGAGAGCAGTGTGTGGTCAAGTTCCAAACAAAAAGCATGTTCCCCTTGATTTCATCAACAGTTGCAATAGAAATGAGGGACCAAGTCCAGCCCACACACAGGGGACAATAACCAAGCTCCCCCTGTAAGAGGAAAGGTGCATTTTTGCCACGTGTCTGGCCATTTCCTTCCTCAGCCCCCGAGTGAAGCATGAATTTTACAGGGGAAGAAATGTGCGTTTTCTCTCTCTCTCTCTTTCTGAAAATAAAGTTACAGAGAGAGATTTCCCATCTTCTAATTCACTGCAGTGGTTAAAGTGGAGCAGCCGGAATTTGAACTGGCACCCATGTGAGATGCCACTGCTCTACCGATTATGCCACGGCGCCCACGCCAACAGCGTGCATCTCCTCCGCAGCTCTGAGCTCAGAACCCATGGCTGGTGCTCTGTGACTGCTTGTGAGATGGGTGGATAGGGCGCAGTTGGGCTTTGTAGCGTTTAATATTCACTCAGTGATACCTGGAAGGGAGGGACTTCTGTGTTTCCATGAAAGGCACAGTAAGCGTCCCAAAAGATGTCATAGTTCTGGGAAACATGCCACCATCACCAAGCAGGATGAAGTGACAGGGTCTGTATCAATTCTCTTTCTGAATAATGGGAACTCAGTATTTGATCTTACGCGAACCACACTTCTTGACCACTCTTGCATATTTTTTTTTAACAGCTTCATAAATTCTGGCCTACTGGAGACGTTCAGATAATGCTTCTCTTTTGTTCTCCCTGGGTTCTGTTGGCTGGGACATGAACTTAATGGCTGGAGCTCCAGCAGCATTTTTTCCTTTTCATTCGCCCTCCTCTTGATTCTCCCCTTCCTGGCTTGGGGTCAACTTTGGATTGTGAGTAGACAATGACCTCTATGCTTCAGGTGTTCTGCTGTTGCTCACCTAGGGGCTGGAATTTTGGCTGGATGTGCTCCAACTCTGTCCTGGATGATACCCTGTTATCTTCTCTTTACTTTTTTCAAGATTTATTTATTTATTTTTGCAGAGTCAGATATACAGAGAGGAGGAGAGACAGAGAGAAAGATCTTCCATCCGATGATTCACTCCCCAAGTGGCCACAATGGCTGGAGCTGAGCCGATCCAAAGTCAGGAGGCAGGAGCCTCTTCTGGGTCTCCCACGTGGGAGCAGGCTCCCAAGACCTTGCGCTGTCCTCAACTGCTTTCCCAGGACACAAGCAGGGAGCTGGATGGGAAGTGGGGCTGCCAGGACTAGAACCAGCACTCATATGGGATTTCAGTGCAGACAAGGCCAGGACTTTACCCACTAGGCTACTGCCCTGGGCCCAATCTCCTCTTTACTTTTTATACATTTGCTTGTTTTTATTGGAAAGGCAAAGAGAGAGAGAGAGACAGAGATCTTCCATCTGCTGGCTCACTGCCCCCAAACCTTAAAACAGGGCTGCTCCGAGCTGAGAGCAGGAACCTGGAACCTCATCTGGGACTCCCACTGGGGGTGGCAGGGACCCAAACCACTTTAACCACCACTTGCTGCTTCCCAGGTGTGTTAGCAGGAGGCTGGATTGGAAGCTGAGTAGCCAAAGCTAGATATGGGATGCAGCTATCCCAAACACCAACTTCAGGCCATCTTCTTCTCTTTTCTCAACTCTGTCCCAGACTAGGGATGGTCTCCACAAAATACAAATTGCTCTTCCCAGAGTAACACAAGAGGAATCACTTGAACAGCCATGCCCATTTTGGGGCTTGTGCCTATCAACTTAAATGTGAAGTTGAAATAAATACCTTTGACTGCTGGTTCTCCATCCTTTGCAGCGGACCCTGGTCCTGATAAAGTTGGAAGCCCACCATAGCCTTGCCAACTCCCAGCTTTCCTCTGAATGTTATCTTCAATAAGAGGGTTCACCAGATGGTGCTCACCGGTTCTAGTCCCAACTGCTCCACTTCCCATCCAGCTCCC